CTAGATGGCCCTTAGAATTCCTTCCAATGCTACAATTCTATGATTCCATTACATTCTTGTTCATGTTTCTTGGAGAGCGGTGAAAAACCCTTAAGTTAGGAAAGCACCAAATCCTGTCCCATCATTTTCTGCCATAATTAGTACTAACAAGCTACAGTGAAGGCTTTCTTTTTTTCCTTCATTTTAAAGTGTTTAAAAGATTTGGCAGCGTATTTTCAGGCTTGTGGATTAACATGCTCTAACTTATTCCCTTCTCCCTCCACCCTTGATCCTTAAGGATTTGCCTGAGTCATGGATTTCTTATCAGGCTTGTTAACTCATATATATATATATATATATATATATATATATATATATCCACCCACTAGAATAAAGGAATCTTTTACTGAGAGCCACTCATCAGGAATTAAACCATGAATAGACTGAACAACTCGCTGACTCCCCTTGGGGGTGACCTTTGACCCCGCTGGGTCAGATGGCAATGCATCTTTAGCCTCCTAAATGAAGCAAGATGAAGGCTCCAAACAAGCGTTTTCTCTGTCTTTGCAGATGTACTGAATCCAGTGACAGGCGGGATAAAAGATGGGCTCTGTTGGCATTTTATTTTCACAGCTGTTTTTCCACAAAATTGGGACGGGTTGCAGGGGGAAAGAGAAATGATAAAGCAGATAGAATATCAAAGGCTATGGAAACTGTTATGAGAAGGAAACTGCAAGCTGAAGAGTCCTGCAAGATCTGATCTATATCCTTCATTTATGATTCCAGAGAGTGTTTTCCAGCTGGGATATTTCCCCTCAGACAACACAGCAAGTGACATTTCTGTGGGTTCCCAAACTGAAAGACAAGAAAAGCTTCTTCTCTTTTTTTAAAAAAAGAAAAAAAGAAATACCATGGCCTCAACTTGAGAGCATCTTTGTCTTATGGCCATTTCAGATATTACTGTAGGACTGGGGAAAGAATTTGGCCTGAGGTCCACCTTCCCTTCTGGGACAGGTTCTGAGGGATGCAGGCCTGCGGCAGGTGAGGCCAGAGGCAAAAGTGAGAAGAGCAATAAAGATGAATTCTACCTTTATGCAGTAGCATGGTTTCTTCACGTTCAAACACCCCTCTCTTATCCTTTATCCAGGGAAGCAATGAGCAGGAACAGAATCCTAGGACACATTTGTGCCTGGCAAAAAACACTCAAGGACGGTGCAAAGCAAGGGAGGGTGAGGGGTGCGGTTTGGGAGGACATGCGATCTGGGGTGGGTTCACAGGGGGTCAGATAAAGAGCTCTGGTGCATTGCATTTGGCCCTGTGTGTGACCCGTCCCTGCATTACACAGCAGCAAGAGCTGCAGCCAGTTATGGATTCTCCTTCATTGTTGTTGTTTAGTTGTTTAGTTGTGTCTGACTCTTCGTGACTCCATGGACCAGAGCACGCCAGGCACTCCTGTCTTCCACTGCCTCCCGCAGTTTGGTCAAACTCATGCTGGTAGCTTCGAGAACACTGTCCAACCATCTCGTCCTCTGTCGTCCCTTCTCCTTGTGCCCTCCATCTTTCCCAACATCAGGGTCTTTCCCAGGGAGTCTTCTCTTCTCATGAGGTGGCCAAAGTATTGGAACCTCAGCTTCAGGATCTGTCCTTCCAGTGAGCACTCAGGGCTGATTTCCTTCAGAATGGATAGGTTTGATCTTCTTGCAGTCCATGGGACTCTCAAGATTCTCCTCCAGCACCATAATTCAAAAGCATCAATTCTTCGGCGATCAGCCTTCTTTATGGTCCAGCTCTCCTTCATTAGAGGTTTTAAATCAGAGGCTGGGTGGCCTTCTGCGGATTACCAATTAGTTGTGCTAGTGGATTAAGTAAGACTTGGACCAGATCGCTCTGCCATTTATACTTATAGGATTCATGTCTTTGCACATTTGTCTTTTTTATTTATTTTATTTCTAACATCTTCGTTGCATTCACCCTTTGCACCAGCCTTCCCCAACCTGAAGGCCTCCATATGTCATCAAACTATTCTTCCCATCATCCCAGGCTGGCCAGACCTGATGAGGATTATAGTCTGAAACATCTGGAGCTACCAAGCTGAGGAAAGCTGCTTTGCAAAAACTCTGCAAGCTTTCGCAGGTCAAAATAGAGGCACACACACAGAGACGACAAGGGAGCTCATGACCTTAGGATCACTGTGTGTTAGTACTCCCATCAGCTTTACACAATTTTCATTGACTCTGTCGTGGCCTGGTTGGCAGTATTTAAAAGCAAAGAGGGTATGTACTCTCCCGATTAAAGATACACAAACAAATATATCTTCCTTAACAAGACATGGTGATTCAACTGGCAAGGATGCAGTCCTCATAACTCTTAAGATCTCGGCTTTGAAGAGTGTGTTTGTGTGTGCATGTGGCCAGAAAAAAACTCCATCTGAAACCCTGAAGAGCCGCTGCCAGTCATTTTCTGGAGTAGATGAGAATGTTAAGGAAAATGTAACTGTTCTGTGATCAACACCTGGAAAGATGAGAGTTGTGGACTGTAGTGCATGACAGCTTTGCATTTTCATTGATGAATTTGGTTATGTGTGCACTGGAGGAGAAGGAGAAGGAGAAGGAGAAGGAGAAGGAGAAGGAGAAGGAGAAGGAGAAGGAGAAGGAGAAGGAGAAGGAGAAGTCATCCATAATATTATTAAGCCAGCCACTCTGGGTGGCTTCCAATAAATTATAAGACCCCAGTAAAACATCAAACAAACTTCCCTGTAGAATTTCAACCTGAAAATAGAGACAATGCACGTACTTTTGTAACCCAAGAAAATCTTTAATAAAAACTATTTAAACTTCTTCTTTTTTTTTTTAAAAAAAAAACAGCAACACTTCCCTATAGGTTTGCACTGTGATTTACTACGGACAGTGGCTGAAAAATGGACAGTTCCTAGTAAATAGGTACAGCTGGCATTTGTGTTTTTGTTTATTGGTAAACATGCAAAAAATCTTAAGGAGAATTTTTTTTTTAAGAGAAATGTAAGTCTGTGTGGGAGAGGAAAGTATTATTATTATTATTATTTTATTTATACCCCGCCCATCTGGCTGTGTGAAGGGACCATGAGAGCATAAGAAAAAAAACCTTGCTGAATTAGGTTAAAAGGCCCAGTCTTGTTCATCAGTACTGTGGTGTTGTTTCTGGAAGTTTTAAAAAAGAAATTGTAAAAGGTACATGGTACGTTCAAAATGGCACAAATGAATCACATCCAAAGGCTTTTTGGGACTAGACAGCATAAAAGCCCCCAAAAAACTGTTGAGAAGTTAAGCACTCAAGTGCTTAGGTGCAAGATTTTTGTTATTTATTTTGTTAATGGCACCAAAGAGGCTAAGAAATTGCACTAGGCTAAGAAGGATGATTGTGAAAAGTGGTTGTTGTGCAGATTAGCCGAGGGCTTTGCGGGAAGTCAGCAAATTGCATGATGACTGTCTAATGCTTTATCCAAGCAATCATCGCTGAAGTCCTCTTGTCATGCAAAGCAGTCAACTGTCTCCTCCATCAGTTTTGTCAATGGCTGGGTGAATGGACTTCCAAAAATGCTCCCATTGTGAATCAAGAGGCTTTTCAAGTGTAAGCAAGAGAAAGAGAGAGAGAATGCTTTTCCCATCATTGCTGGGAAGACGCCAAATATCCTTAGCAGTTCAGGCAGTTAATACGTATTGACCCATCAATGAAATGAATCTAATAACTCATTAAATGCTGGATTTAAAAACAACAACCCACAACGCATTTCCTCCTTTGGGTAAAGAAGTTTGACTGAGACACAACTAACGTTTTAAAAACTCCAATAGCATTCTTGTTTGTTTATTTACTGAAAATGAATATATATAATTGCATTCATTGCCTACCCTTTCCTCCAAGCAGCTCAAGGCGGTGTAAAACCCCCATTTTATCCACACAACAACCCTGTGAGGTGGGCTAGGTGGAGAGACTGTGACTTGCCCCAAGGGAGCTTCAGGGCTAAGTTATGGGGTTGAACCCTGGTTGTCCCAGGCCCTAGCCTGACACTCTAACCACCGACCACCAAAACAAACACAAGTACTAAAAAAAAGAGGCAGGTATTTGCGAATGTCTAATGAAAATAGACATCTGCACTGGCCCCGGCACTGGCAGGACTGTGGTTGTTTAGGCTTCCTTTTCTGTGCCCTGGCACTCGGGCCAAGCCATGCCCCCTCCCTGGGCCACGATCCACATAGCACCCTTGAAATGTGATGATGTCCCTTGCTTACCTGAATGGATGGATGGATGGAGAGAGAGATGTGCATGGAAACCTTGCACTTCTGCATGGAGAGAATGTTGCATACTAAATAATAATAATAATAATAATAATAATAATAATAATAATAATGATTTATTATTTAAACCCCGCCCATCTGGCTGGGTTTCCCCAGCCACTCTGGGAGGCTTCCAACAAAGTATTAAAATACAGTGGTCTGTTAAACATTAAAAGCTTCCCTAAACAGGGCTGCCTTCAGATGTCTTCTAGAAGTCTGGTAGTTGTTGTTCTCTTTGACATCTGGTGGGAGGGCGTTCCACAGGGCGGGTGCCACTACCAAGAAGGCCCTCTGCCTGGTTCTCCGTAACTTGGCTTCTCGCAGTGAGGGAACCGCCAGAAGGCCCTCAGCACTGGACCTCAGTGTCCGGGCAGAACGATGGGGGTGAGATGCTCCTTCAGGTATACTGGACTGAGGCCGTTTAGGGCTTTAAAGGTCAGCACCAACACTTTGAATTGCGCTCGGAAACGTACTGGGAACATACTGTTGCATAAGAACCAAGGTGCACACCATCAAGGGGCCAACAGTGCGTGGAGGGAGAGAGGGGAGAGCTGGAAGGGAGCCAAGTATAGCAAGGAATGAATGAGAGCAAAACAGCAAATGCAGCTGGGAGGGAGGCACCAGAGGATGGTTTGTTAGTGACACGCTGCCATCAACGGGATTATATAATCCAGGGGCACCAATGTAGTGCCCTCCAGAAGCTGCCGTAGCTGCTGGATAGTTGAGTAGGTAGAGCATAAGAGACTCTTAATCTCAGGGTGGTGGGTTCAAGCCCCACATTGGGTGGAAGATTCCTGCATTGATGGGGTTGGATTAATGACCCTCGTGGTGCCTTCCAAGTCTACAATTCTATAACTCCCATCATGGTTGGCTATTGCCCAAGCTGGCAGGGAATGAACAGCTCAATGCTTCTGAAATGGAGACGGGCCGTAACTCATCGGTAGAGCATCTGGTTTGTAGGCAGAAGGTTCCATGTTCAATCCCAAGCATCTCCAGGAAGGGCTGGTAGAGACTCCTAGCCTGATACCCTGGGGAGCTACTGCCAGTCAGTGCAGACAGCAGTAAGTGAGAAGGACCAATGGTCCGATTCAGTATATGGCAGCTTCCTATGCTCCTAAGAGACCATCAATTAACTGGTCGAAAACAAACCAGCCCATTGACTGGTATAGAGTTGGATCTTAGATTTGGAAGGGACCCAAGGGTCATCTAGTCTGACCCCCTGCAATGCAGGAATCTCAGCTAAAGCAGCCATGACAGATGGCCATCCAGCCTCTGCTTAAAAACCGCCAAGAAAGGAGAGTTCACCACCTCTTGTGGGAGTCTCTTCCACTGCCGAACAGCTCTTACTGCCAGAAAGTTTTTCCAAATGTTTAGTTGGAATCTCCTTTCTTGTAACTTGAAGCCATTGGTTCGACTCCTACCCTCCAGAGCAGGAGAAAACAAGCATGCTCCCTCTTCCATGTGACAGCCCTTGAAGATATTTGAAGATGGTGATCATACCTCCTACCATAGCTGTCAACGTTTCCCTTTTTTAAAGTGAAATTCCCTTATTCCGAATAGGATTCCTCGCAAGAAAAGGGAAAAGTTGACAGCTATGCTTCCTATCAGTCTCCTGTTTTCCAGGCTAAACATGTCAGTGTTTGAAAAAGAAAAGGTTCTGACCTCCTTTTTACTCCTTTGCCGAGTCCTCAGACCTTAGTTGGCACAAAAGAGTCTTTGAGAAAGAGCATTCTTGCAGAGTATTGCTGCTTTTATTCTTAAAAAGTCTTCTTCTCCAACCACGACCAACAGCTTTTACACACACCAAATGCAACCAGCTTTCTACCATCCAACCAACCCATACCACCACTAACATTGACCACTCTATATATACAGGTACAATTTGGTGAAAGGTTGCATGAGTCATTGTAGGCCGCTGACTCATGCTGACTTAGTTCTTTTAGCATTAAAGAAACAGTGGCCAATTTTTAGCCGTGACGAAACATACCCAGCTCCTTCAAGTGCTCTTCATAAGGCTTAGTTTCCAGACCCTTGATCATCTTGGTTGTCCTCTGCACAAGTTCCAGCTTGTCAACATCCTTCTTAAATTGTGGTGCCTAGAAATGGATACAGTATTCCAGGTGTGGTCTGAGCAAGGCAGAATGTTGTTGTTGTTGTTGTTGTTTAGTCGTTTAGTCGTGTCCGACTCTTCGTGACCCCATGGACCAGAGCACGCCAGGCACTTCTGTCTTCCACTGCCTCCCGCAGTTTGGTCAGATTCATGTTTGTAGCTTCAAAGACGCTATCCAACCATCTCATCCTCTGTCGTCCCCTTCTCCTTGTGCCCTCCATCTTTCCCAACATCAGGGTCTTTTCCAGGGAGTCTTCTCTTCTCATGAGGTGGCCAAAGTATTGGAGCCTCAGTTTCACGATCTGTCCTTCCAGTGAGCACTCAGGGCTGATTTCCTTAAGAATGGATATGTTTGATCTTCTTGCAGTCCATGGGACTCTCAAGAGTCTCCTCCAGCACCATAATTCAAAAGCATCAATTCTTCGGCGATCAGCCTTCTTTATGGTCCAGCTCTCACTTCCATACATCACTACTGGGAAAACCATAGCTTTTACTATATGAACCTTTGTTGGCAAGGTGATGTCTCTACTTTTTAAGATGCTGTCTAGGTTTGTCATTGCTTTTCTCCCAAGGAGCAGGCGTCTTTTAATTTTGTGACTGCTGTCACCATCTGCAGTGATCATGGAGCCCAAGAAAGTAAAATCTCTCACTGCCTCCATTTCTTCCCCTTCTATTTGCCAGGAGGTGATGGGACCAGTGGCCATGATCTTCGTTTTTTTGATGTTGAGCTTCAGACCATGTTTTGCGCTCTCTTCTTTCACCCTCAATGAAAGGTTCTTTAATTCCTCCTCACTTTCTGCCATCAAGGTTGTGTCATCTGCATATCTGAGGTTGTTGATATTTCTTCCAGCAATCTTAATTCCGGCTTGGGATTCATCCAGCCCAGCCTTTCGCATGATGAATTCTGCATATAAGTTACCGTATTTTTCGCTTTATAGGACGCACTTTTCCCCCTTCAAAAATGAAGGGAAAATGTGTGTGCGTCCTATGGAGCGAAGACGCCATAGCCCCGCGACCCTCTCCCGGCTGGAGAGGTGACGCGCGGCTATGGCAGGAGCCTCTATAGCCGCGCGTCACCTCTCCAGCCGGGAGAACGCGCACGGGGCTAAAGAAGCACCCCGCGACCCTCTCCCGGCTGGAGAGGTGACGCACGGCTATGGCAGGAGCCTCTCCGCTGCGCCTTTCCGCTGCTCCTGACCTGCTCTTTGGGGCTGGTGGTGGGCTTCCCCGTCAGCCCCAAAGAGCAGGTCGAAGGAACCTGAAGCCTGGAGAGCGAGAGGGGTCAGTGCACACCGACCCCTCTCACTCTCCAGGCTTCCAAGGTAGCCGCCTGAACGCACCTTAAACGGCACCTTGTTTTAGAGCGGGAAAACAAGAGGGGGAAAGTTCTCCCCCTCTCTGCACAGCGCCTCCTGCCACTTCACTGAAGGGGCGCTGGGCAGAGAGGGGAGAATTTTTTCTTGTTCTCCCCCCTCTAAAACAAAGTGCGTCCTATTGTCCGGTGCGTCCTATGGTGTGAAAAATACGGTAAATAAACAGGGAGACAAAATACAGCCTTGTCGTACGCCTTTCCCAATTTTGAACCAATCAGTTGTTCCATATCCAGTTCTAACTGTAGCTTCTTGACCCACATAGAGATTTCTCAGGAGACAGATGAGGTGATCAGGCACTCCCATTTCTTTAAGAACTTGCCATAGTTTGCTGTGGTCGACACAATCAAAGGCTTTTGCATAGTCAATGAAGCAAAAGTAGATGTCTTTCTGGAACTCTCTAGCTTTCTCCATAATCCAACGCATGTTTGCAATTTGGTCTCTGGTTCCTCTGCCTCTTCTAAATCCAGCTTGCACTTCTGGGAGTTCTCGGTCCACATACTGCTTGAGTCTTCCTTGTATAATTTTAAGCATAACCTTGCTAGCGTGTGAAATGAGTGCAATTGTGCGGTAGTTGGAACATTCTTTGGCACTGCCCTTCTTTGGGATTGGGATGTAGACTGATCTTCTCCAATCCTCTGGCCACTGCTGAGTTTTCCAAACTTGCTGGCATATTGAGTGTAGCACCTTAACAGCATCATCTTTTAAAATTTTAAATAGTTCAGCTGGAATACCATCACTTCCACTGGCCTTGTTATTTGCAGTGCTTTCTAAGGCCCATTTGACTTCACTATCCAGGATGTCTGGCTCAAGGTCAGCAACCACACTACCTGGGGTGTACGAGACATCCATATCTTTCTGGTATAATTCCTCTGTGTATTCTTGCCACCTCTTCTTGATGTCTTCTGCTTCTGTTAGGTCCTTACTACTTTTGTCCTTTATTATGGTAATCTTTGAACTAAATGTTCCTTTCATATCTCCAGTTTTCTTGAACAGATCTCTGGTTCTTCCCATTCTGTTGTTTTCCTCTATTTCTTTGCATTGCTCGTTTAAGAAGGCCTTCTTGTCTCTCCTTGCTTTTTTTTGGAAATCTGCATTCAATTTCCTGTATCTTTCTCTATCTCCCTCGCATTTTGCTTGCCTTCTCTCCCCTGCTATTTGTAAGGCCTCATTGGACAACCACTTTGCTTTCTTGCATTTCCTTTTCATTGGGATGGTTTTCGTTGCTGCCTCCTGTATAATGTTGCGAGCCTCCATCCATAGTTCTTCAGGCACTCTGTCCACCAAATCTAAATCCTTAAACCTGTTCCTCACTTCCACTGTGTATTCATAAGGGATTTGATTTAGATTGTATCTTACCGGCCCAGTGGTTTTCCTACTTTCTTCAGTTTAAGCTTGAATTTTGCTATAAGAAGCTGATGATCTGAGCCACAGTCAGCTCCAGGTCTTGTTTTTGCTGACTGTATAGAGCTTCTCCATTTTTGGCTGCAGAGAATATAATCAATCTGATTTCGATGCTGCCCATCTGGTGATGTCCACGTGTAGAGTCGTCTCTTGTGTTTTTGGAAAAGCGTGTTTGTGATGACCAGCTTGTTCTCTTGACAGAACTCTATTAGCCTTTGCCCTGCTTCGTTTTGCTCTCCAAGGCCAAACTTGCCAGTTGTTCTTTTTATCTCTTGATTCCCTACTTTAGCATTCCAATCCCCTATAATGAGAAGAACATCCTTCTTTGGTGTCACTTCAATAAGGTGTTGTAAGTCTTCATAGAATTGGTCAATTTCAGTTTCTTCAGCACCAGTAGTTGGTGCATAAACTTGGATTACTGTGATGTTAAAAGGTCTGCCTTGGATTCGTATCGAGATCATTCTATCATTTTTGAGATTGCATCCCAGTACAGCTTTCGCCACTCTTTTGTTGACTATGAGGGCCACTCCATTTCTTTTGTGGGTTTCTTGCCCACAGTAGTAGATATGATGGTCATCCGAACTGAATTCGCCCATTCCCATCCATTTTAGTTCACTGATGCCCAGGATGTCAATATTTATTCTTGCCATCTCATTTTTGACCACATCCAACTTACCCAGGTTCATGGTTCTTACATTCCAGGTTCCTATGCAATATTTTTCTTTACAGCATTGGACTTTCCTTTCGCTTCCAGGCATATCCGCAACTGAGCGTCCTTTCGGCTTTAGCCCAGCCACTTCATCAGCTCTGGATCTACTTGTACTTTTCCTCCGCTCTTCCCCAGTAGCATGTTGGACACCTTCCGACCTGAGGGGCTCATCTTCCAGCGTCATAACTTTTATATG